CAGGGCGCTCGGGAGGACAGATCTTCCCTCTCTGTCTCCTGGCCGCCCACAGCAGGCAGCCTTCTGCCACCCCTCTGCCACGATGCTTCTGCCTTGCAGCCCACAGGCCATGGACGGACGCCTCTGGAGCCACTGTGCAAGTCAGGTTTTGTCCCAGCAACACAAATCGTACTTTTGAGATTAAAAAACAAATCAGCGATAACCCTGGAGAGGAGAACAAACAAATCACTATTCCTGAAATACAGGCACGCTCCCTGGGCCCACCATGCCGTTAGACGTGCAAGGGGTCAGAGAAACAACAGCTCGCCACAGAGGGCCACAACCCAGCCCCAGAGCCGGTACTCCACGTGGCGACAGGGACTCTGCAGAGAAGACCAAATGCAGGGCCTGGACTCTCCTGGCAGCATTATCGCGAGTACCCTTAACAATGGAGGAAGAAAGCAGAGAAAACAGACAGAGCTCCGGAGAGGGCGAGGAACGAGGAAGGGGCCCTGAGCCAAGGGCTGCTGGTGACCTCGGCACCAGAACAGGCAGGAAGCAGTCTCCCCTGGAGCCCGCGGGAGCCAGCCCTGCCCGCACAGCATCCCAATTTCAGCCCAGCAAGGCCCACCTCCAGCCCTTGCTGTCCAGACTGTGAGATAACAGATTTGTGTCGTGGTGACTGATACAATCTGTGAGCTAGGCAAGCTCCTTCCTGGTGAAGGCAAGGGGACAGAGGTGTCCAGATTAAGTCTCTGCATGTGACCCCTGGCCCTGGGCAGGCTGCTGTCACCCACAGGTACAGCACAAGCATCATAGGAAATGACAGTCGCACGTGGTGAGGACCCCAAACCCCAGCTGCTTCCAATCTCCCTGGGCCCTGATGAGGAGCTGGAAGAAAATACACCCTGAAAGGACAAAGAGGTCAAAGGCAGCCAAGTGGGGCTTGTGTGTTGTTCTCTTAAGAACCAAAGAGAAGGGCCCAGCTGACAGAGCGGAACCAACCTGAGGCAGTACCAGAGGCTGCCAGGAGAGGGCAGCCTGGAGCTCGGGCAAAAAAAAAAAAAAAAAAAAGCGCCAAAACCATGATCCTTTTGAGAAAAAGCAAACAATTTTACCAGTTCAGTCTGCAACACATCACTGTGCTCCTCTGGGGTTTAAAGGAGCAGCAACTGCCATGAGGTTTCACAAGAACACACTCGGGAGAACTTTATCTTCCTTGATGGAAAGAAACTTCACTCCGCTTCTGGTATTTTTTACAGTGGAATTCACTCGGAAGAAAAATTGCTCTTTCAAGAAGTCAAAATAATAGGCACGTTCTTTGAAAAGATGAATGCTTGCATGCTCTCTCTCAGTGCATGATTAGCTCTGGCATTTACTTAACCACACTTTTGGAGAAAAATGGAAAGGAGAGAGGGAGGGGAGGAGGGAGGAAAGGAGGGAGGAAAGCAAGAATACAAGGAAGGAAGGGAGATCTTTTCTTCATTCGAACCTACACCCATTTGCCACCTAAGAGAATTCACCAAGTTTCCACATTTTGAAATCAATATCATGAAGCAAATACTAGAGCTAACCGCACACCAAATGCACTTTATTTAAACTGTAGTATGAATTTCATTGTAATTTAAAAAAAACTGTAGGGTAGAATTAGAAAATCACTATTTCTGAAACAAAGAACTTGTAGGTCTTGGCAGCGGATACAGAAATCCAAGCCCATTCAGTTGGAGTGGAGCGGTCACCCAAGCTGGGTGGGGCCTCTCGGCCCTCCCTGGGCTAGGAGGAGGAGGCCCCGTGCACACTGGAGACCCCGCCCCAGGCAGACGCAGGGAGCCTGCATCTCAGGGCCTTGCAGCCTCGCAGGTCACCCGGCTGGCCAGGACATGCCCTGGGGATGCCCTGCGCGCGTGCTTGTGTGTGTGTGTGTGCGCGCGCCCAGGCAGAGGCGCCCAGGTTTTGGAGCTGGCTGGTCCTTTCTCATCACGCCGCACAGCGCTGGCAAAGCCTGTCCCAGGACTGCCTGCCACCCGGCCCACCCTGCAGACTGCTGCCACTGTCCAGAGTCAGGACGGGAGCCACGGTAACCAAGCTCTGACCACCGGCCTCTGCTGTGGTTTCTCGGCCAGGGCACAGCAGCAGTCTGAGCGCTGCGTGGTCACCGATGCACAGCCCCTGGGGACCCTCCTGAGTGCAGGTGGTTTCTGTGCCCCGTGTACCATCTACATCGACATCACAGGAAGACGTGAAGCAACTGGAGAAAAGCAAATCGTGCACATTTAGGCTGCTGTGGAAGCCGTGCTGTTGGCCAGTTTTTGTTTTTGTACCAGGGAATGAACTCACGACCTAGTGCTTGTGAGGCAGGTGGAGGCACCACTGAGCTAAATTCCCGGCCAGGCTGGTCAGTTTTGTTCCAGGAGGCGGGGACAGTTTCGCCCCCGGAAGGCTTCTGTGACAAACGAGTGAGGTATTGCATGTAAAGACGGGCCGGGAGTCTCAGGTCGGGACGTCGCAGTTACACAACCACACTCCTGCACCGAAATGCAGGGAGGACACGAGGCCCGCACAGCAGCCGAAGCCTGGGCCTGCACGGGGCGGGGCCGCACTGCCCGCTTGGTGCTGGCATCCTGGGCGCAGGGGACTG